GGATTTCATGGAGCTGTCATCGCTGCTGTTGCTGCACCTCCCACATCCATTTTGATTACAGACTTGCGAGAGTCAGCTTTTTCAACCTGCTGTCCAAAGCAATGGTTAGTTGCCTCCTCTAATGAGCCTAATTTCATACTGTTCTCATTAATGGGAGAGATCAGCTGCTCTTCTTATCAATACTCATGTCAAGTGAAGGTTCCAGCCTTCTCTCTGACAGAGCTCTATTGGGAGGGTCAATTCATTGCTATCGTGCCAAAAGGCTGTGTGTTTAGCATTTGGCCCAGAGATGGTTCAGAGAAGAGGAGGCTTGCCGTATTTTCTTGTGGAACAGTGGTGATACACAACAGCTGGCCTGAGGATGATGAGTTCAAGAGAAGCTTTTACCTTTCTTAGCATAACGTTCAGGAACTCATGGTTTGAGAACCCCAGTTGTGCGAATGTAATTAAAACCAAGCAAATAAATGATTTTTTAATTAAAAAAACCAAGGTTTTATTATTATTAACATGTAAGAATTATGTGTGTTCTAAACATTGTGGTAATATTTACCTTCACCCCAGACCTTCAAGAGAGCTCTATTTGAGCTATAAACAGAGTAGGCATATTAAAAATTTTTAAAGTGGAAGTCCCAGATGCCCTTTTTGTAGCATCAAAAATGTTTCACCTCCAGGTGCATCAGGTTAATTAAACAACTGCCGCATGATCCCCCTTGCCCACAAAGGATTTTGGGAGCACACTCCGTTCACATGAGTAGCCGGTTCATGCCAGAATCAGCAGCAGAGCCTGGACCAGCAAACGGTCTTGTGAAATGGCGAGTGCCCCTTGACCTGTTCTGCTCCATGCAATCAGCTCAGCCTAAAGCCTGCGCTGTTGAGCTGGCTGAACGCATAACTCTCTTTCCACTCCCTCTGTCATGGAAGTTGCACATTTGCCAACATGGAGCTGCTCCTAGCATCTCTCCTCCCTCTTCTTCACCTGGCACAGATCCTGCACAGATGTTAATGAGGCGTTTTGAACACTGTTACAGACCTGCTAGGCTCGCCAGTATTTAGAACAGCTACCTCATTTTCCCACCCCACATTAAAAAAAAAAAAAAAGATACCACAAATTCAGCCACATGAACTACTCAAGATGATCTCAGCTGATTTTGTGATGCCTGAAAGGAACACAGGAAGATGCTTTATGCTGAGTCGGAAAACAATAGTTCGTTTAGCTCAGACTGAGAGTGGCTCTTCGGGGTTTCAGACTTTTTTAGACCCATCTGAAAACATCGAGGACTGAACTTGGGACCTCCGGCATGCAAAGCGTTTGCTCTATCACTGAGCTATGGTCCTTCCCCCTAAGCATGCATCTACATGACAAGCTCTGGGCAGCCTTTGACAGGCGACGTGGTTCCACACATATTAGACCTGCATTTAGAGACTTCAGCAAGAAGACACATTAGGGACTTGGTTGACAGGGATATGCATTCAAATGGGGCATGAAGAGAAACGAAGTGGAAATAGAAAACATGCACTAATCGAATAATTTGGACCAAAGTGCACTGCATTCTTAATTAGGCTAGCAGGCACTAACTCTGCAGCAGCACATGTACTTCCCAGATTGTGGCTCTGTGGCAAAGCCAATTTTCCCACCGCCATTCACAGGGTCAGTGTAATTGGGCATTCTGGTCTCTCCCTGTTTTTATACCTTCTTCCAGAAATGAAGTGTCATAAAAGCAAGGCTCCGTATTTATGGAGGTCAGGAAGGTGCAAACAAGGAGCATAAGGAGGAGTGATGAAAAATGTAAATAAATCCAAATATGAGAATCTAGCTATGCCTTAATTTTCTCTGACCATGAGCTCTTTATTAAAGGGGTGGCCTCCGACAGAAAGGTCACTCCACCTGTAGTTCCTCCATTATGAAGTACCCTCCTGTCTCCTTTGCTACAAAGATATTCTTCCTGCACAGCTCTCCCCTTGCCTGCTGCCACACATCCTGCTACAGTGTGCCGGCTATATTTGAGAAACAATTACTGTATTTTTCAGTGTATAAAATGATGCTTTTTGCTAAAAGAAAATTAGGCAAAAATTGGGTGTCGTCTTATACATTGATAGTGAATGCAGAGGTGAACGTGCGATTAATGGCAGCAGCAAGCAAGAGATTGACAGCGGCAATTGAGCAGGTGATTGGTGGCTACGGCAAGGCCTGCTGGCAATTGGTTGTGGCTGAGGCAATAGGGCAGGCGATTGGTGGCTGTGGTGAGGCAGGCAGGCGATTGGCAGCTGCGGCAAGCGGGAGGGTGGGCTGTTGGTGGCGGCGAGCGGGCAGACAATTAGAGGCTGCGGTGAGGTGTGCGATCGGCAGTGGCTGTGGCAAACGATCAGCAGTGGCAAGCAGGAGGATGAGCGATTGGCGGAAGTGACCTCCCCCACGCCCCAAAAAGCTAAACAACTTAATTTCTTAATTTTGGGATTAAAAGATAGGGGTCTTCTTATACATGGGGGCATCTTATACACGGAAAAATATGGTAATAGACTGGCATTGGTATAACAGCAAGGAAAGCAAGTCTGGTATTTATACGTCGAAAAAGTGTTTGCATTTGTGGGCTACAGGTCTTCTAAGACTTGGGATTTCTTACCCGTTATATAAAATAGGATGGGGAAACGGTGGCATCGTATATGTTGGCTGGACTTCATATCTCATCAACCAAAGCCAGTGTGGCCAGAGTCATGGATGCTTGGAGCTGGTGTCCAGCAACATGTGGAGGGATGCAGATATTCCACCACAACTATGGAAAATCAGACTTGACCCTGCAGGCAACTCTCCATTTGTGCACATTCAAGGCATGCGCGACCACACACACGCGCATATCACCGCAAACCCGGAAGTGGCACAAATACAGCAAAATGGCATGAAAACAGTGCCTAGCAATCCCACAAGCCTTTGCAAGTGCAATCCCAGGAGCCCTTGCACCGACCACTCTGTGGAAAGTTGGGAGATTGAGCAAGGAGCTTTGGAGGGAGCAATTGTGGTGGAGTTTGGCAGATCTGGTAAGTGCTGCTGGGTTTTTTAAAGGGGTTTTCAAGGGTTTCCAGAGGTTTAGAGGATGTTTGCAGGCTTTTTCAATAGTGTTCCCGATATATGCGATTCATAGGAGCCAACTCCTAGGGGTCCAGGTCCCTTCAGCCCACAGAATAAAATATTTGAGCCCCCTCCCAAGATTGATGAGCACTGTCATTCAGATGGTGTCCGTGCACCAAGTCTTGTGATCAATTACGCGTGGCAGGGCTTACCTGCTGCTGCCACCTCCCACTTTATTCAAGTTGGCATCCCTGACGCAATTTCACTTAAACGCACAGCGCCTCAGAATGTAACCCCTGAGTAAATGGGGAGTTGCATGTATCGCATTATTGTAGCTTTTACTATTCTGCTTACGTTTTGCAAGTTGATCACATGTTTTAAGGGAGAAGGGTGCAGCTGATGGGAAAGAGAGAGACCCCAGAAAGCCGCTGCCAGCCAGAACAGACAATGGTGCGCATACAGTTAGCCAGTATGAACGAAATGTCTTGCCGCAGCACACAGAGGCAGTTCCAGCATGTTTCCACATAGCACTCTTCTAATTCTAGTGGGAAGTGGTGCTCAGTCTCCTGTCCCTCAAAGCTAGTGGCAGCAACTTCAGTAAAACTGGGAGCACCCAGCTTAGCAGCACTTCGTGCAATAAAATCCTAACGAAAATAAATTGATACGTATTTACCCATATGCCGAGGAGCATATGGTTAATGCGTTTAGACATCACTAACAAAGTTAAGTCTCAGCTAAATTTGTTGGCTTCCGGATAAAGACTGTTCTCTACAGCAAACCAGAGCTGACAGTAATTTTAACTCCACAGCAGCTTTCTTTCTTTAAAAAAGTATCCAATTTTTTAAAAATGTGTTCCCGACCTACCTAGCAAGTTTCACAAGTACAGTCAGGGCAATTTGCTGCAGGTGTTTAGTCATCCTTTGGAAATGCATTTACGGTGCACGCTTCATTAACCTCCTGATGACGAGCGCTGCTGTTGTTTGAGGTTTGGCCATCGCAAAAAAATGAATGAAAACTGACAGTACAGAGCCCTCTGTGCATTATGCACAAAAAGAGAGGAAGTGAGTAGAGGGGCTCAGGAGCCACGCTTTGGGCACCACCCACCTGGCACACAGCTTTCCGCCCCAACCCTGGTCCCACTGTTCATGCCTTAGTGTGTTAACACGGCTGTGGCGATCACACAGGGTCCCCGGACGTTTGACGGTCTACTGACTCTGTGCCACCACTGTGATTGCTTTCTTCGCTGCCACCAACCCGTTTCCCTCGGGTACACACGAAGTCCAGACAGTTGTTAACATTAACTAATAATCAAGTTTATTTATGGCATGAACAAGCTTATGGTTTCAGTTAATTTTTCTTGGCAGTTTCTTAATCGTAGTTCCTTAACTGTCCTATGCGTTCCTAACAACTTCAAACTGATTATTCCAACTATCTATCTGACTCCACCTAACAATTCCTCTCACTCCCTCACCACACAACTCAACCAACCCACAGACTATTCTCCCTCTTCTCCAACTCCCAACTCTCAACTGACTTCCACACAGCTCAACTCTCACTCTAACTCCTCCTGTCAGTTTCTCTCTGGCCAATCACATCACACGCATTTAACCCTTTCCTTATGACCCACCTTGGAGGCAAACGCCACATAGGCCATCAGAGATGCTGGAGAAACTTTTGTGCGCTTTGTACGTCCAAGAGGCTTCTTTGATTCTGGAACCTTGCACAACGGGGGCTTCAGAACTGGGGAAGCCTCTGCACAGAGGTAAATGTGTAAATGCATGGAGGCTTCCCCATCTCAGGCAGCCCCACCAGCATATGGTAGGGCTGGGGGGAAGCCATGGGGACTGCTGCCACTGCCCCCCAACCCGCCTCAACTTCCCTCTTTGACTGAGTAATGCATGAAGAGGGCTTTGAGAAAGATTACTCTCAAAGTATGGGCTGAGAACAAGATAGCTCAGTTGGTAGAGCATGAGACTCTTACTCTTAGGGTCGTGGGTTAGAGCCCCACATCGGGCAGAAAGATTCCTGCAGTGCAGATGGTTGGACAGACTAGATGATCCTTGTGGTCCCTTCCAATTCTATGATGCTATGGTTCTGACACAATTTCATAATCTTAGCTTGAGAATGCATAATGTTGATGTTTCAATTATTAAATCAATATGCTAATGCTTTAATTGCATATACAGTGGTACCTCAGGTTACATACACTTCAGGTTACATACACTTCAGGTTACATACACTTCAGGTTACAGACTCCGCTAACCCAGAAATAGTGCTTCAGGTTAAGAACTTTGCTTCAGGATGAGAACAGAAATTGTGCTCTGGCGGCGCGGCAGCAGCAGGAGGCCCCTGCTTCAGGTTAAGAATAGTTTCAGGTTAAGAACGGACCTCCGGAATGAATCAAGTACTTAACCCGAGGTACCACTGTATACTCTGTGTGAATTGCCCAAAGGACCTTGTCAACAAATGTTATATATAACTATATATGACTCTCTCTCTCTCTATATATACATACATACACACACACATATATACATATACACAGAGAGAGAGAGAGAGAGCGCTTTTTTGAAATCTGTGTCTCTATAAGAAAATGGATTTGCATGTGAAAGTATCAGCCTCACAAGTCAGTTGGGAATAAACATAATAAGTACAGTATGGGTAATTGCACTTTACTTTATGAAATTATACTACCTGATATACTGTTGCCTGTTTTCCCATTCTCACAATTCCCGCCCCCTTGCAAGAATTTGGGGTTTGAAAGTGTGAAGCACCCTCATTTTCAAGACAATTAGAAATGGTCTTTTGCAGGGTTGCATCCCCTGGTTGAATTTGTTTTCACACATGGATCTCCACTGTGAAACCAATGGTGGGGCATTCAGATTTCCTCTACATATTGCTAAAATGTAGAGACAGCAGATTAACTCTTGAAACAGTTTCCACACTTGTTTTCCAACCAAGCCAGCCAAGAATATTGTTAGAACTGAGATACATTCTCCTACCCTATGTATCAATTAGAAACAGTATTTTTTATATTATGAATATATATGACAATGAAGCGAGAATGGCTTGCCTAGTGCAGCTGATAGTTCACACAATTTTGCAAAGGTTTCAGTATGAGCCTTTTGTACAGGCCCTTGTCCAAATGGGGGAACCAATGGATTTGTTGTTTTTAACTGAGCCACGGCTTCCTTTTTTTCAGTCTGTGTAAATACCAGACAAGGGCCATGTTAAGTACTCTCCCCTCAATTTCCATTCCGTTTGTCTCTCCAAAAGCAACACAACACCACAATGCAAGCCTTTTACTATCTCTGCAAGCCGTAATTAAAACGTGGGCCGCAGACAATATACCTTCAGCTCATCATTTGTCTCTTCACAGACCTATTCAGTTTATGGTTTCCAGTTTCTACAGCTCGTGTCTCTCTCAAACCTGGGAGAATCAGAGTTCTAGTTCCAAAATTACACCAGGGTTGATTTCAAGCCACTCCGTGCACTTAGCAGTTTGTTTTCCTTTACTTGCTTATCAAAGGGTGGGGGGCGGGGGGCTGGCAGATGCGGGGTGAGGAATGAGTCGCCTTTTCTGTGTCTCACCCACCCACTGCCACTTTGCCGCCTCCACCCTCCCGAGGGCTATAAAACAGCTCAACCCGGCCAGACCAAAATCTAAATTGAGACAAAGCTCCCTGCTCTTCCATCCCTCCCTCCAACGCAGCCCCCATTTTCCATTCAGCAGAAGTGGGCCACTCGGAGGCAGCAGCCCAGGAGCTACAAGTAGGCCAGACGAGAATAAACAGCGCAAACAAAGAATATCCTGTCCACTCCGAGAGAGGCTGAAGAAAGAGTGATGTCTCCATTAAAATTCAAGGCAGGGAAGCAGCACGCAGCCTGTCAGCAGCCTAGCTAATAAAATGAAATAAAAAGGCGAGGGGGAGGGGGAAAGTTTGCAGTGGAGAATGAAGGAAAACATAGGGTAAGGTGCAGGTGCAGCCACAAAAGCCAGGCACTTCACAGTTTTAAGGTTTTCCTCCTTAAGTGAAAAGGAACAAAGGGCAAATCCAAACAATTCTCATTAAGGTTTGTATTTCCCCTTCCTCCTCTAAGGAGCTCAGGAGGGCCTTCTTGGTAGTGGCACCCTCCCTATGGAAAGCCCTCCCTTCAGATGTCAAGGAGAGAAAGAATTACACAACTTTTAGAAGACATCTGAAGGCAGCACTGTATTGGGAGGTTTTCTGTGTTTGATGTTTTTAATTATGTTTTTAGATCTGCTGTAAGCCACCCAGAGTGGCTGGGAAAAATAATAATAATATTTATTATTATTATTATTATTATTATTATTATTGATGATACACATGCCCTTCCTGCTCCGAAAAACACAACAGCCCTGTGAGGCAGGTTGAACTGCTTACCCCGTGAGCTTCAAGACAAATGGAAGACTGAACCTAAGCCTCCCCAGTTTAAATCCAATATCTCATCCACTCAGCTACAGGAACATAGGAGACTTAGACAATGGATGCATACAGATTGCTGCTAATGCCATCACCTTCAAGCACCAGTGATGGAAGTGCACTGGAGGTGGAATAATTAGTAATGTGTACACATTACTTAGGACGCGGGTGGCGTTGTGGTCTAAACCACTGAGCCTCTTGGGCTTGCCGATCAGAAAGTCGGCGGTTCAAATCCCAGCGACAGGCTGAGCTCCCGTTGCTCGGTCCCTGCTCCTGCCAACCCAGCAGTTCGAAAGCACATCAAAAAAGTGCAAGTAGATAAATAGGTATTGCTCTGGTGTGAAGGTAAATGGTGTTTTGGTGCGCTGCTCTGGTTTTGGTGTTCCATTGCACCAGAAGCGGCTTAGCCATGCTGGCCACAACCTGGAAAAACTGTCTGTGGACAAACGCCGGCTCCCTCGGCCTGTAAAGTGAGATGAGCGCCGCAACCCCAGAGTCGTCTGCGACTGGGCTTAAATGTCAGAGGTCCTTTACCTTTACCTTTTACACATTACTTGAGGCTAAGATCCACAAGTAGTAATGATGACCTGTGTGGGATTGTAGAAATTGGGCTTCTTACCACTGAAAGCCCTGTCCAGAGGGAACCAATTTGGTTTGGAACACTGGGAACATACAGCTTGCAGACTCTCCCATCTTTGTGCAACTGTAGTCGAGATTAGTTAGAATCTCCAAAAGAAACTAATTTATGTGATTTTTATGGTTTTCACCAGATTTTGCTTCAACAAACAAGGTCACTGTGAACTTAAAAACATGGAACCCCTCCCGCTCATGGATTTACATTGCATTTAACTGTGAAATGCAAAAAGAAAAATGGCAGGAAGCTGGTAGAAACAGAAATCCAGAAAGAGGCACCAGATCCAGAGAGTGTGTCTTACCTCTCGAAAGTACAAAAGGTTTCCGATGAAAGGCAAAGGTGGAGGGTGGCGGATGCCCACTTTCTCCAGCCTGGAGAAGCCGGAGGTGGAATACCTGCAAAACAAGGAAAGTAATGAGGTTTGCACCAAGCCTTGCTTTAAGATTTAATGGATGAAAAGTCTCATGACTAAAAGGAAAAGAGCCCTAGAACCTAAGGAGCATAGCCGGAGCGTAAAATCTCCTTCCCCTGGATGTTTGCAATATGAGACTGGACAGGCAACCCGCAGGGACATTACTGGATTCTGATTCCCAGTCATGGAATATCAAGAAAAGGTGGCTGGTGACCAAATACAGGCAAGGCACTCAGGTTGCAGATACACCTGATAAAATCAGATTCCCACGCCTCCAGCAATCTTAGAGACCACTCAGACCCTGTTTGTGGCTTTGATTAATGATTTACACATAGTGATCAATTGGGAGGGGAGGATAGGATTATTGATTCTATTATATCATTCCATTGCCTTTGATTGTGTTCATGAGCCGTCTGCAACTTAACTGCAGGATCTGGTAATTATTAAGAGAACTGCTCTGCAAAGGGTCAGGCTATTGCTAGCTGGGAGATATCAGAAGGCAATGATGGGCTTCTGTCCTGTCCCCTATAGGCACGGAATCCAGAACCATCATTTTACTGATTATACTTAGACATCATGAGTTCAGAAAATCAAAATAGTTAGAAAATATTCTCCTATTTTACAACAAGAATACCCCCTTTCCTCCCTTATAGTTTCCAATTAGCAGAAAGTTTACCTTTGCATTAGCCACAATTATTTCAGATTTATAGGCCTAGTGGACACCTAAACTGAAACCATAATTTTTTGTCTCAAGAAAACCAATGGCCACCAGACAGCAATGATGATTTAGTAATTCGTAGGCTAGATCTCATGCCAAAACCTTCAGAAATAAGGATATACAGTTTCCGACACACGTACACACTACAGATACCAATACTTCTTTTCAGGAGGTCAGAGATAAGGAGGTCAACATTCATGAAGTCTTCCTTCTTCTAAACTAACCTATTTTGTGTGTGTTTTAATTAATGTATTGTCAACTACTGGAGCCCTTGTGACAGGGGATGTTAAAAATGTAGGTATTATTTATTCATTTTATATTGCGCCAGAAATGTACTAGGTGCTAAATAATAAAGTCCAAAAATAGATTTTCGCACATCTTCCAGTCTTTGACAGAGGAAAACAGGTACAGTACACTTGCTGTATATATTAAGTGAAACAGTGAAGCAATAAGCAGTGTGGTGGGTGAGCAAAGTAAAAGGAGCTGGTGACAACCCCCCACCCAGGAATTTGCAGACTGTTAACATCTAACTACACCTTACTTGCACAATGTAGAAACCACATCTGAAGTTAAGACTTCTAAACTTCTGCTTATTTTTACTGAAACAGATCTTATTCTTCAAATATTTAAAGGAACTTCGGGAATGTTAAAAATGTTGTGTGCACTAGAAAAGTCGGAGGCTTCTGTTCTCAAGTATTATACAGTCTTGTGCCAGGCAAATCAGTACGATTTCTTATTTATTTTAAAACTGCCCTTTCATTATCGTATTCCAGAGCAGTTTACACAACATAATAAAACAACAATATA